CTAAATTGCAAAAGGATACCCTTGAACTTCCTGCCTTAGGATTACAGAAGTGAACCATGATGCCTGGCTTTAGTTTAATGGTTTTGTTTTGTTTTGTTTTTGGTGGTGCTGGGGATTGAACCCAGGGCCTTGTGCATGCAAGGCAAGCATTCTACCAACTGAGCTATATTCCCAGCCTTGAATTCTTATTTCTACCTCCTCATGGTCTTGAACTCAGCTGATAATCTCTGCTTTTGGAAGAATTTTTAGATCCTGTTCTTTACAGTTGCCATTCTCATGCCAATTGGCTCTAAGCTTTTTTATCATTCAGAAAGTTTTTCCCTAGCTCCCTTTATATAATAAAAATCCTGCCCTTCTTAGTCACACCATATATCTTTTATTTTCTTCATAGCATTAATACTATCTAACATTATCATGCACTTTTTCTTTTTTTTTCTTTTTTAAAGAGAGGTGAGAGAGAGATGAGAGAGAGAGAGAATTTTTGATATTTATTTTTTAGTTTTCGGCAGACACAACATCTTTGTTTGTATGTGGTGCTGAGGATCAAACCCGGGCCGCACGCATGCCAGGCAAGTGCGCTACCACTTGAGCCACATCCCAGCCCCTCATGCACTTTTTAAATTATCTTTTTATATCTCCTATTAACAAGGCTAGCACTTATAAAAATGCTCATTGGGCACACACCTATAATCCAGTGGCACACACCTGTAATCCCCATGACTTGGGAGGCTGAGGCAAGAGGATTCAAGGTCATCCTCAGCAATTTAGCAAGACTCAGCCTCAAAATGAAAAATAAAAAAGCCCAGAGATATAGTTCAGTCAGTGGTAAAAGCACCCCTGGATTTAATTCCTAGTACCAAAAAAAAAAAAAAAGAAAGAAAAGGAAAGAAAGAAAAAAAATTTTAAACAGTGGCAAGGGGTTGGGGATATATCTCAGAGGTAAAATACCTTCGAGTGTATGCAAAGCTCTCAGTTTGATCCTTACCACCAATTAAAAAAAAAGAAAAAAAGAAAAGAAAAATTCAATATTTACATATTGAATGAATTTATGGAGGAAGTGTGGATCCAGAAACAAAAGTACAATAAAGCATAATATAAATTCCTAGTTTCTGATAGAGGCCATATATTTCATTTTTTGATGCTAGGGATTCAACCCAGGTCTTACATATGCTAAGCACATGCTTTTCTACTGAACTACACCCAGCCCCAGAAGACGAAATACTTTTTCTTCTTTGTTTTTTCTTTCTTTCTTTCTTCCTTTTTATTATACTGAGGATTGAACCTGAAATAGGGATGTAGGATAAAAAGTGAATTACTGAATATTAGAGGAAACACCCATAAGTCATTGAGATGTAGAAAGCATAGTTATAAATGTTGAGCAACAAGGCCCATGCCCTTGTAAAATGAGGGAAATATGCAAGTGCAGGGAAAATTGGCCTGGAAATTGTGCAGCTCCACCCTGGATCCACCTCCAATCTGGCCCCTGATACAGCTCTTCCATAAATATTGGACCCTGAGCCCAAGTCGGGGCTGCTTCTCACTCTCAAAAGACAGCCTGCATTCTCCCTTGAATGTGAATCTACCTTCCTAAATAAACCTCTGTCTATATCTTTGACTGATTTATGATGAAATTCTTTTCCTTCACATATACCAGGAACCCCCCTGGTCCTGAGTTGAGTTTCCCCTATCTTCTGGGAGCCCCTAGGACCCTTCTCCTGAGGGAAGAACCCTTCTCTTCTGTGACAAACCTGGGGATGCCCTACCACTGAGCCACATCCCCAGCCCTTTTTATTTTTTTGAGATAGGGTGTCATTGCTAAATTGCCCAGGCTACCCTTGAACTTGCCTCAGTTTCCTGAGTTGCTGGGAATATGTGTGGCGTCCTATTTTTTTTTTCCAAATTTTTTTTCCAGGCACTGGGGATGGAATCCAGGGCCTTGAGCATGGTAGGGAAGCACTATACCACTGATCTCACCCAGGCTCTAGAAGTAGTATATTTTATATTAAAAAGTCAATTATAGGGCTGGGGATGTGGCTCAAGTGGTAGCTCGCTCGCCTAGCGTGCCTGCGGCCCGGGTTCGATCCTCAGCACCACATACAAACAAAGATGTTGTGTCCGCTGAGAACTAAGAAAAAATAAATAAATATTAAAATTCTCTCTCTCTCTGTCCCCCCCTCTCTCTTTAAAAAAAAAAAAAGTCAATTATACTGAAGTGTGTGGTGGCACATGCCCATAATCCCATCTACTGGGGAAGTTGAGGCAGTAGGATTGTGCATTCAAGACCAACCAAGAGCAACACAGCAAGTCCCTATCTCAAAATAAAATTAAATAAATAAAATGGGGTGGGTGAGTCCTGAGTATGTTGTGGTAGAGCGCTTAGAGCACTCACTGTGGGTGCAAGGGGTCCTGGGTTTTATCCTTAGTACTGAAAAAGTCAATTAGGCCAGGAGAACTGAGTTAGGTGAATGAACTTTATCATCTTTATCTTTCAACTGGTTCAGGGGCCTGTTCCTTCTGTAAAATCTTGATTAGCCTGACACAGCCTAATCTGGCCAGGTTTCCAGATTTCTGTATCTTGCTGTTTGGGCACTGTGATTTCAAGATAGGTTTTTTCTTCCTTCCTATCTCTAGAGGAAATCTGAGGCTGAGGATAGAATTTCCTCAGTTCATGATGAAAGATAGGCAACTGCTGGCCTCTCTGAACAGACTGTCAGTTTCTAACCTTAAACTGGCTTAAAATAATCTCCCACTAGCCAGGCATTGTGGCACATGCCTGTAATCTCAGTGGCTCAGGAGGCTGAGGCAGGAGGATCAAGAATTCTGAACTAGGGCTGGGGATGTGGCTCAAGCGGTAGCGCGCTCGCCTGGCATGCGTGCGGCCCGGGTTCGATCCTCAGCACCACATACCAACAAAGATGTTGTGTCTGCCGAGAACTAAGAAATAAATATTAAAAATTCTCTCTCTCTCTC